CTTGACCTCAATTTTGAAAACCAGAGATTGTTTCTGAAAATGCATTTTATGGGGTGTAAATTATTTTGGCTGCAGAGGTAGGATGTCATTTGTACAAGTTTCTCAGAACTGTTCAAAATGCATTAACATCTTTAAACACACACACACATATTAATATAGTATGTGTATATATATAATATATATACATGTTCATATATATATATATATCAATATATATCAATATATATCTATATATCTATATATCTATATATCTATATATCTATATATCTATATATCTATATATCTATATATCTATATATCTATATATCTATATATCTATATATCTATATATATGTTGGAAGTGAAGCTATTCATAGCATTTCCTTAGGACAGAAAAGAGTACTTTGAATATAAAACCAGTACCTGATAGTGACTTAGAGCAGTCACTGCCAAAGATATTTCTAAAGAACTAGATGAAGATTATTATTGGACAATCAGTGCTCTGTTGAAGCTACTTAACTCTGTCACTGTAGAGTGAAAGCACACGTAGGGAATACCCAGAGTGGCTTGGCTATAGGTATTTATGTTCTGTGGATTTTGTAACGACTAAGTCCAAGCTGGGTGGCTTAAACAACACGAATTTATTTCATCAGGTTCTCGATCCCAGAAGTCTTCTCTCAGGATGTCAGGAAGGCTGCCCTCTCTGCAGGGGCTCTAAGGGAGACTGAGCCCCTTGCCTCGTCCTGCTATTAGTGCCTCCAAGCTTCCCTGGGCTTTGTGGCTGCATCACTCCAATCTCAGGAGACATATGGTCCGCTTTTCTCTGTGCCTCTCCACTCTGTATCTTCTAAGGAGCCTGGCTATTGGTTTCAGGGTCCAACTGGCTAATCCAGGAGGTTTTCATCTTGGAATCCTTAACCAAATCTCTAAAGAGCCATTTTTCAAATAAGGTCACATTTACAGTTACTGGGGCTTAGAATGCAGATATATCCTTACAGGGCTACCATCACCTTATTAATAAAACCTCTTTCTAAAAACAGGCTGTGGGTGGGATTTGCTCTTTGGGAAGTACTTTGCTGACCCCTGATTTAAGTGTGTAGATTCAGACATGGGCAGTAAATAAATCAGACACAAATTTGTAAAATTATAAGAAAAGGTTAGCCTTAGCTGGTTTTGTTCAGTGGATAGACTGTCAGTCTAGGGACCCAAAGGTTTCTATATTCAATTCCAGTCAAGGGCACAAGCCTGGGTTTGGGGCTCAGTCCAATGTGCAGGAGGCAGCCAATCAATGATTCCCTCCCATCATTGATGTTTCTATCTTCCTCTCTGAGATTAATAAAAAAAAATATTTTTAAAACAGTTAAATCTGGCTTCTTTTCTGCTAGTGAGAAGCTCCAGGAGATTTGTATCACACAGGCTCTGTTCAGTCGCCCCAGACCCTGGCTGATATAACTGTCAAACCCTTTCAGCATCCTGAATTTCATCCCACTATAACTATTCCTATGCCAGTGTCCATTACTGTCAACCTGAAGTACCTCAAAACTTAGCTCTAGAACTTAGCTGAATGGAGGCTCAGCCAGGAGCTGTCCTTGGTTTCTGCTGATGGTTCCAATAACCTAACAAGCAATTCTCTCACGAAGGCACCTTCAAATCTATAGCATAATATAAGGAGTGCATACTACCTGATTTAATTATAAACAGAAGCACTCCATCCACGAAAGCAATGAGCCTCTATCAGACCTGACAAGAAAATATTTGAGAAATCTGCTTGAATGTCATACAGAGGACAAATGCTTGCTACTATCATATATATCATCACTGTTCTGAAATTTCAAACCAATGCAACCAAAGAAGAAAAAGCAATAGTAGACTCATGTCTTAGGTAAAAGTAAAATAATCACATTTTCAGATGATAAAATTGACTGCCTAAAATGCATTAGAAGGCTATAGTAACTAAGAAGTCATTTAGATCAGGCTAGCTGTAAACACAAGCAGGTATTGCCCGGCAAGTGCTGCTCAGTGATTGAGCATTAACCCATGAACCAGAAGGTCATGATTGGATCCCTGGTCAAGGCACATGCCTGGGTTGAAGGCTTGAATATCTGAAACAAAGGCCACCCTCTGGGTCTTCACAGTGGCTCTTCCCACAGCAGGGCACACACTTCCCCCAGATAACTTCATAATTACAACTCTGACTTCCTCTAGGACTCTGGTCAAATATCACTCTTCTGAACTCCCATTAAAATACAACATCTCCATTTAAATTGCTTTATGCCTGTTTTTCTTTTTCATACAATCTGTCACTATCAGACAGAGCATATGTTTATCTAGTTGGTAATTAATATGCTTTTTCCATCATTGTATTGTAGAAAACATTATTTCTCAGCATTCTATATTCTTATCCTAGAAGATAGTCAGTACTAAATATAAATTCCTCAAATGAATAAAAGAATTTTTCATTAAGACCATATATCACATGACCTCTTAAGGGTAAACTGAGTGTAGGACAAGAATTCCTAACTAAAATTAGCAAAGCAGACCCAGTAAAGGAGACATACTCAATATAAGTGAATAATTTCTTGACTGAAAAACATAAAAACATAAATTCTAGCATTTCACTATGTTAATACTAACACATGTAAAATTAAACACATTATTTTTTCTTCTTCCTTTTGACCACTACCACATGGTACAAGACAATGATAACCCAATTTCAAAATTTCTTTTTCTGAAACTTTCAGAGGAACCAGAACTGTAGCTCCCTCATTTTTGTTTTTTTCCCTCTCCATGTACCTGATCACTTTGCTCAGAAACCTGCTCATCATCCTGGCTGTCAGCCCAGACTCCCACCTCCACACACCATGTACCACCATTTGTCCACCAACCAGATCTGAAATATCATGGCTGGCATGTACACATAGGAACTATCTGGCATTGAAATTGGGACGCAAAAGGACTGTTGGCCCAGAAAGGAACTCATTACAGACTGATTCATTTGCCTCTCAGCATAACCATTTTGGCTTGTTGCAGTTTAGGTTCTTACAAGGATATTTCTTGGATTACATGATCTCACACGTCTAGAGGAAAAAATGAACAACATAAACAGACCCAGAGAAAGAGAACCAGCGATCAGACTCTCAAACCTCAGAGGGGAAGTAAGGGAGGATGGGGGTCAGGGGAAGAGATCAACCAAAGGACTTGTGTGTATACATATGGCCCAGCCAGTGGCCACAGACAAAAGGGTTGCGGCGGGGGGGGGGGGGGGGGGGGGGGGGGGGGGGGGGGGCGTATCTAGGGAGGGGTTTGGGATGGGAATGGGGGAATAAAGACAATTATGTGATAACATGATCAATAATAAAAAAAAGAACAAAGCTGAAGACAAAAAAAATAAAAATAAATAAATACCTACATAAGAAACATTGATGAGAAATATTGATCAGCTGCCTCCCCAACACCTCCCACTGGAGATGTGTCTGCAACCAAGGTACATGACCTTGACCACAATCAAACCTGGAATGTTACAGTCCACAGGCCGAATCTCTATCCACTGAGCAAACATGTCATGGCTGTGTACACTTTTTAATGAATTATATATCCCTTTCTGCTTGAAAATTCCAATGCTGTCTACAGTTATGACTCTTCCATAGCTCTAAGAAAAGTAATTCTCCTTTTCTAAATTTTGTCATGTGGACAAAAAAAAACAAGCAAAACACACCACATACGAAAACTGAAAAGTTCAGCTGGTGTGGTGGGAATGGGGGCTGCTTAGTAGCCTTAAAAAAAAAAAAGAAACCTAATACAACCATATAAGATGGTCTGAAATTAAAACTTTCTAATTGAAAGGAGCTTTAGTAAGCAGTCATATCCTAAACTTGAATTTTTCATGAAAAAAAAGTCAAATCATTGTCTTATATGAAGACATCATTTTATTGTTCACAGTATTCCCAATGTCCCCCATTCTCCTCTTTGCCCACACCCCAGGCCTTTCCCACATTATTGTTGATGTCCATGGGTTACCCAAATGTACACATATTTGGTTAATTCTTTCTCATCCCCCAACTCCATCTCCTCTGCCATGTGTCAGTCTGTGCTATGTATCCAATGTCTGTGGTCCTATTTTGTTAATCAGTTTATTTTTTCTCATTATATTCCACATATAGTGAGTTTATGTAATATTTTTTTCCCTCTGGCTGGTTTATTTCACTTAGCATTACAGTTTCCAGGTACACCCATGCTATCACAAAGGGTAAGAGATAGCTTTTTAGCAGCTACTTAGTATTCCATTGTGTAAATGTCCTAGAGCTTATTCATTCCCTCATTTGCTCATGGGCATTTGGGTTCTTTCCAGACCTAAGCTATGGTCAATAAATATGAACATAGGGGTGCATATATTCTTCCTGATTTGGTGTTTGAGAATTCTTAGGCTATATTGCCAGAAGTGGGATCTCTGGGTTAAACAACAGTTTGATTTTTATTCCATACTATTTTCCACAATCTCTGAAAAAGAATGCATTCTAACCAGCAGTATTCTAGGGTTCCTCTATTTCCACATCTTTGCCAGCAATTGTTGTTTGTTGATTTGTTAATGGTGCCCATTCTGGCAGATGAGAAGTAACTCCTCATTATTGTTTTAATTTGTATCTCTCTGATAATTAGTGACCTTGAGCATTTTAATATGTCTCTTGGCCATTGTGATTTCTCTTTGGAGAAGTGTTTATTCAGGCCCTTTGTCAATTTTTTTTTCACTTGAAATGTCTCTAAACCTATTATTTATATGTTTATTTTTACTGTTTAAAGTATTACATATAGTAGTACATATATCTCCTCTCTTTCACACATGAACCTTCCCCAACCTCCCCTAACCCTTTTCACATGCCCTCATCCTACCCACCCCCAAACCAGTGTATCTGTCCATTGATTGTGCTTATATACATGCATATAAGTCCTTCAATTGATCTCTTTCCCCCCCTCCCCAACACTCCCCAGACTTGCAGTTGTAATTTGACAGTGTGTTTGATGCTTCACTGGATCTGTATCTACCTTCCTGTTCATCAGGTTATAATGTTCCTCATTTTCCATAAATAAGTGAGATTATGTGGTATTTTTATTTCATTCCCTGGGTTATTTCACTTAGCTTAATGCTATCCAGTACCATCCATACTGCTGCAAATTGTAAGAATGCCTTCTTTTTATAGAAGCCTAGTATTCCATTGTGTAGATATATCACAGTTTTCTAATATACTCATCTGCTGATGGGCATTTAGGCTCTTTTCAAATCTTAGGTATGGTGAATTGTGCTACTGTGAACATATGGATGCATGTATCCTTTCTGATTGGTGTTTCTAGTTTCTTGGGATGTATTCACAAAGCACTGAACACAAATGTATTTACATTATTAATAACCCCAATAAAGGTGACCAGCAGAGAAAGGCGAATTAGAGGATGAGAAAGAAAGAAGAAAAAAGAGTGCAAAAATGAAATTGGGAAAAGGAAAAAAAGTAAGAGGGAAAAGAAAGAGAATAAGAAAGAAGACAGGAAAAAACTATTTATATGGGGATAAAACTACAGTAGAACAGCTACTAATACCAACCAATGCCAGCAACAAATACTTAGAGATGAATGCAAACTACAAACAACAACTAATATCAACTGAGTTGAGGGAAAACGTAAGCAAAAAAGCAAACAACAACAAAAAATGAAAAAGCTAAACAATCTCACAAATAAGTATAAAGAAACTGATATAATCAACAATCAAGCAAAGCACAACAAAAGGACAGAGAGAAAGAAAAAAATTTGGGGATAGTGAAGAAAGAGAAAATAGAGGTGTGTATGGACTTAGAGCAGGGGATTGGAAATTAGATATGTAAGTAGGGTGAAATTTTAACAGGGGTCAAAAGAAGGAATAGGGAAAATCTAAAGCAGGAATAGGGTAAGATAAAAGCACAACAAAAGGGGAATGTGAGGAAGAGAGTGTTGGCATAAAGGTAAAGTTGAAATATTGTAAAATGATGCTATAGGAAAGATGAAAATAGAATGTAGAACGGTAATCCCAAAGTAAAATAAAATGACACTTTAAAAAAAAAAATGGCACTTAAAAAAAAAAAAGGTAAAATAGTAGTAGTAATAATACTGATTGAAAAAAAAATGTAATAATTAAAAAGGTAAAATCCAGTGAGGGAAAAAGAAAAAATTATATCATTTCTTAAGTAAAAAAATGAAATAAAAATAAAAACGTGCAGTAGTGAAGGTCATTCATTCCTCTACTGTTCTGTTTGGCACGCCTGTCTCCTAGTCAGTACAGTACTGAAGCTCTGCGCATTCCACTGCTCCACAGTCCTGATTTTCAAACAGGCAATATTTCTTTATTTCTTATACTCCTTTATTTGAGTTTACACAAGAGTCAATTTGCGATTCAGTCCTTGGTTGACAGTGTTTCTGGATTGACCTCTGGATATATAGGGCCTCTGTAGCTAGTTTTTATTATGTTTTTCCTGTAGCACTTAAAGGGGATTTGGGGGAATTATCATAAACTAATGAACAAAAACAGGCCTGGAGACAGGAAAACATTGATCAGACTGTCAAACCCCCAGGGTAGGTAGGAGGGCTTGGGGTGCGGTGGGGTGCTTCTCCTTTTTCCAAGTCCCACATAGAAAGTGAAAAGGACAGGTTCCTGTGTGTAGGAGCTGGGAATTAAGAAATAAAAGAAAGAAAGATACAAAGAGGCAGAAATAGATTCATCTAGATGGGTGCCAGGTGGAGGCTGTCACTGTGATGGAAGGATAGTTAGCCCCCACCACAGATAACACAGTGCATTTGTTGGTTTCCAGAGGAGGGTTTAAGGTCAAGGAAGTTCTGGGTGTGCCCAGGTCTTATTCATTCCCTCATTCCTGGGATTTAGCATATCAAGACCTGGGTAATCAAGGTCCTATTCCTTCCTCATCCCAAGCACATGGATAAAGATAAGAAATCAGTACTGATAACTGTCTCTAACATTTTGGGAGGCTGTTTCCAGGGGATGGCCATGCCTCTCACCTAGGACTCAGCTGACATTAATTTAAAGGTCAACCATTGGCATTCCCAAGGGCCCTCTGCGGGGAAGGGATAGAGATCAACCAAAGGACTTGTGTGCATGCCGATAAGCTTAACCAGTGGTCACAGACAACAGGGGGGTGAGGACATATGTGGGGAGGGGTTTGGGATGGGCATGGGGGAATGAGGGCAAAAATGTGACTCAATCAATAAAGAAATTTTAAAAATATTTCATGGCATAAAAATTATACATAGTCAAGTGCAGTTTTTTTTTTGTTTTGTTGTGTTTTTTTACGTAATACCACTTATTACTGTTCTATCTATAAAACAGAACAAATTGCTTACAATGATATATGTCATTTGGGAAGAAATTTTTCTTAAGACATCAATGTTTCTGGTAAATAAAAACTTCTCACTATTTCTGACCAAGGTTGGGAAAAACATTGTGAAGGTTAAAAAGGGACAAAGGGGAAACTTTCTGTATCACAGACAAAGCAAGGAAGCTTAATAAAATGGTTACTTAAATTGTATAGACAAGTTGAAACAAACAAAAGAAATTCAAGGACAGAAATAAAAGCAACAAGTCTGGCCTGGCCTGTATTTCTCAGAGGTTGAGCATGGAACTATGAACCAGGAGGTCACCATTGGATTTCTGGTCAGAATAATGCCCAGGTAGTGGGTTCATTTACCAGGAAGGGGTATGTAAGAAGCAGCTGATCAATCATGTACTCTCATCAATGGTGTTTCTATCTTTCTCTCCCTCTCCCTTCCTCTCTGAAATAAATTAAAAAAGCACAAAAGGTTCAAGTCTAAAAATTTCAATGTGATTAAAGAGTAACAATTTCTGGTTTTTAATCCTGTAGCCCCAAATTCAAGGCTACTTTTTACCCATGGATGATTGTCCCCTTTTACCTGCCAACCCATAGAATCCTTTCAGGGCCCTCTTTATGTCTTTGTTCCTGAGACTGTAGATGAAGGGGTTCAGCATGGGTGTGACCACAGTGTACATCACTGAGGCCACTGAACTTGATTTTGAGCTTTGAGTAACAGCAGAGCTGAGGTACACTCCTAGGATTGTACCATAAAATAAGGAGACAACTGAGAGGTGAGAGGCACATGTAGAAAATGCCTTATATTTCCCCTGAGCTGATGAGATTGCACGTATGGAGGACACTATCTTAGAGTATGAGTAAATTATGCCAGTAAGGGGACCACCACCTAGTAGCACAGATACTAAATACATCACCATGTTATTAAGTAAGGTGTCAGAACAGGCAAGTTGAAGCATCGATTTGAATTCACAAAAATAGTGCGGGATTTCCAAGTTTGTGCAGAAGGACAATGGCAACACAATTAAACTTTGTAACAAGGAATTCAGGGCACTCATGCCCCAGGACACCAGGACTAGCAGTCCACAGAGCCTGGAGTTCATGATGACCATGTAGTGCAAGGGGTGGCAGATGGCCACATACCTGTCATAGGCCATCACAGCTAGAAGGAAGTCATCCAGTCCTCCAAAGAGTAGAAAAAAATACATCTGTGTGATGCAGCCTTCATAGGTGATGGCTTTGTTCTGTGACTGGATGTTCACCAGCATCTTTGGGACGGTGGTGGAGGTGAAACAGATGTCTACCAAGGACAGGTTGCAGAGGAAAAAGTACATGGGTGTGTGGAGGTGGGAGTCTGAGCTGACAGCCAGGATGATGAGCAGGTTTCCAAGCACAGTGATCAGGTACATGGAGAGGAAAAGCCCAAATATGAGGGGCTGCAGTTCTGGTTCCTCTGATAATCCCAGAAGTAGAAATTCTGAAACCAGAGTATCATTCTCACCTCCCATGGGGTAGAGGTGACTAGTAGAAAGAAAAAAAAAGCATGATTAGTTTTTGCACAAATGACCATTGCAAGTACAGATTAAATGCTACAATTACATTTTGTAATAATGCAACAATATTTATTTTTGTACATATCATCCCCATGACATCTCTGATTAGGAAATCCTTTCTTCCTCAATCTTTGTTTTCAAGGTGGTCATGGATTATACTGTTTTCATGAGAAATGCTTTCATGCAATTGAGAAATATTTATTAATAGTTTCCACCAGTAGGGAAAGTGTATAGGATGCTCAGAAACGAAATTCTAACCCTGATTCTAAGTCAGTGCTTTTCTACTCTACAAGGCTGCCTCACTCTGTCAATGCTTTACAAAGAAATGGAAATGCAAATTTTGAAATAGAAAAAATCCGGAGAACTGAGCAGATAGAGGGGAGGGTTCAGGTTCTGCTGTGGGAGGAGAAAGGCCATGGAATTGTGTTCTCAGATGGTGAGAAGAAAAGGGCTGAGAAGAAATAAATTTCCAGAAATCCCTTCAGAGCTAAGGACACCAAATGTACAGGATCCTTTCACTATTTCATCAGCCTGACTGTTCCCCCAGAGGACACAGTTATTAGAAGTTCTTGCTCTGCACATGATGCTTTCCCACAGTGGTCACTCTGGCACCCCCAATGGCATCACTCACTGGACTTGCCTCTACTGGTCCTTCCTTCCTTGGACAATTGATGTAGAAAGGGCAAGAAATGGAGTTGAGGTACTGGTTCCAGAGCAGGTGAACATCTTAGAGAGACACAGAGAGGATGCTCTTATCCATGGCTGAGGAGCTGCAGGTGAGTCTTCAGAGGGAGGTCTGAGGCCGAATTCTCAGAGCTCCTCATTAAGTGAACTATGTTACTTTTGCTCAGTTCTCTAAGCAATTCAGCTCCCTTGAAACCAAGTGGCCATAAGTAATAGGCAACTCTTCTGCTAGTTTGGTCTCAGTGGGTTCATCTGGAGGTGAACATTCAACTCCAGGTGCATATTCAGTTCCCACAGATGGGTCCACCTCCCCTGGAATGAACATATCCCCAGGGTATGTAAGCACTCATGCTAGACACATGGACAGGATAACATCATGAGTATCTGAACTACTCTGGGTCACACAGAGTGTCTGACCAAGAGATTTAGTGATGTCCCTGACCCCATCCATTTCAAACAGGAAACTTGCAGAAACTTCCCCTTGACCTCAGTTTTGAAAACCAGAGATTGATTCTGAACAATCACTTGATGGGGGGTAAATTTTTTTGGCTGCAGAGGTAGGATGTCCTTTGTACAAGTTTCCCAGAACTGGTAAAAATGCATTCACATCTTTAAACTCACATAGGTTTATATATATTTATATACATATACATACCACATACTTATATAGTATATAATACATATGTTGGCCAATGAGGTTATTCATAGCATTTCTTTATGACAGAGAAGAGTACTTTGCATATAAAAGCAGTAACTAATAGTGACTTAGAGCAGTCACTGCCAAAAATATTTCTAAAGAAGTAGATAAAGATTATTATTGGACCGTCAATACTTTGTTGCAGCTACTTAACTCTGTCATTGTAGAGTGAAAGCACTTGCAGGGAATGCACAGATTGGCTTGGCTATAGGTATTAATTTTCTGTGGATTCTGTAACAACTCAGCCCAAACTGGGTGGCTTAAAACAATATGAATTCATCTCATCAGGTTCTCGATCCCAGAAGTCCTCTCTCAGGATGTCAGGAAGGCTGCCCTCTCTGCAGGGGCTCTAAGGGAGACTGCTCCCCTTGCCTCGTCCTGCTATTAGTGCCTCCAAGCTTCCCTGGGCTTTGTGGCTGCATCACTCCAATCTCAGGAGACATATGGTCCGCTTTTCTCTGTGCCTCTCCACTCTGTATCTTATAAGGAGCCTGGTCATTGGTTTTAGGGTCCAAATGGCTAATCAAGCATGTTTTCATTTTGAGATCCTTAATTATATCTCTAAAGAGTCATTTTTCAAATAAGGTAACATTTACAGTTACTTGAGGTAACTTTTTTAAAAGAGTAAAATAGTAGTAGTAATAATACTGATTGAAAGTAAAAATGTGATAATTAAAAAGGTAAAATCAAGTAGAAGGAATAAAAAATATATCATTTCTTATGTAAAAAATGAAATAAAAATAAAAATGTGCAGTAGTGAAGGTCATTCACTTCCTCTACTATTCCGTTTGGCACGCCTGTCTCCTCCTCAGTACAATACTGAAGCTCCCTGGATTCCACTGCTCCTCAGTATTGTGCCCCGGCCAGTGGGACAGCAAAGTGGGAGCGAGGATATACCTGGAAGGGAATGAGGGAGGACAGGAGACTCGGAGAAATGGAGGCAAGACAGGGTTCTGATCAAGCCTCAAATTTTATTTTTTGCAGCCGCAATATATGTACACAGGTTGTAGGGGGAAGTTGCCACAGAGACATTCCAGGGCCGGGAGAGTTGTGTATCAGCAGGACGTGTTTGCAGGGAAGGATACAGCAGAGATTCTCCGGGGCAGGGCGAGTTATCACAACAGGTGTGCCTTGCTCAATGGCCAGATATGCTGCTAGGCATTTAGATTGTTTCTAGTTAACTGCCACACCGCAGCTTGTCACAAGAGTTCTGGTAAGTCAGAAACTCAGTGTCTAAGATGGAGGTGTCTTTTAAGATGTAATCACTAATCATTTTTCGGCTCCCGACAGTGTTGTAGGCCACAGTTCTCATTTTTAAGCAGGCAGTAGGTCTTTATTTCTTATACTCCTTTATTTGTGTTTACACAAGAGTCAATTTGTGATTTCACCCCTGGGTGGCAGTGTTTCTGGATTGATCTCTGGGTCAATCTGTAGTTAATGTAGCTAGTGTTTAGATTTTGTTTGATCTGTAGCCCTTAATACCTGGTTGGGGGAATGGGTTGCTGTAGAATTGGTTCTCTGATCATTATTCCCTGCTCTAATCTCCAAATTCCACAAAAACAACTTTCCCCTGCAGTCTCTTAGAGTGTTTCCAATTGGGTGATCCTAAGTATTTGGTTTAGTCATCAAAAGCAAGGATTTAAAGAGGAAAAAAGAAAAGATAAAGAGG